GGGAGGCAAAGGAAATACCGTCTGCCGCAAAACTAGGGGTTTTTGAATTACCCGTCCGCTGGTGAACGGGAAAAACGGATTGGTTAGTATTTTTATGTAGTTGTCAATCAACGGCTAAATTCGGTTAAATGTTAATCATTAACCAAATGTTTTGACGTTTTGAAACACTGCGTTTTGAAATTAGTTCACGTCAAGTCAGACCAGAAATGGAATAACATAATAAAAGAAGCAAATTAAAATATACAAGCTGAAAATAACACGCTAAATAGTGTTTTTGATAGAGATTCGAACAACAATATTTAACAAAGAAGATACGTCCGAAGGGGCCGAAGTTATGATCGGCGAAAGGTATGGGCTAGTCTATATTTTCGTTCAGACAATTACATGCGTATACGATCTCGCTTGACTTTCAAAGGCCATAAATCGCAATAATGTTGACATTTTACTAAAACTAGCGACAGAAATTAGGAGATATTTCTTCACTGAATCGAACAGTGGGATTTTCATATAGGCCTATCATGTTATGAACCAAAGATACTTCATAGATATTATATACGAACCTCCAAAGTATAAACAAGGGGCCGGTTGATGCAGTAATTATCAAATAACAGTTAAACTCTTATATACCCGTTGAATATTATACACTTAATGTCTGTTCGCGAGGGAAATAGTTAGTTTTGTTTTCCCGAGAGACTCAATGTTTCCCGAGACGAAGTCGAGGGAAACATTGAGTTTCGAAGGAAAACAAAACTAACTATTTCCCGAGAGAACAGACATTAAGTGTTTTGTTATATAGCAACGAAATGAAAAAATATATATTTTCATACAACAATTGTATTTTGTGATAAAAACAATACAAGGTAAGCGATATTAAAATTTAAAAACTTGCCTAAAGTATTTCCACAGCATTTCCTGTTGCCTGCTGTGTATTTTTCGTCTCTTTCGATTCTGCATGTAGTCTTCAAATAAACTTGAGAAAACATTTATAAACTTGCAAGTTCAAAGCCGCCATTTTGTTTTCGGGTGGGCAATAATTGTTTACTTATTGCCCTGAAGGAAACATTGCATTTAATTAGGGTCATGTGACCACAAATCAACCAATCACGGATTGGCTTTCCCCCTAGCTATATAACAAGTATAGTTGTAAACACATAAAAACTATCGTTCTATAAGGTTCAATACTTTCACTTTGGTTGTTGACTGATGATGAATCTATAGTATAGACTTGCATGCTTTGTATTTTGAGCTTATTAAACCTCCGTTTTAAGGCAGTTACACGAGCTTGGTTTATATTAACACATAAAATAAATTCCTTGACTTTCATCACTAGACACAGTCTACACTTTGAAATGTGGAAGACACTAAGACAGTGGGAGATTTATTTTTTATATTTGATATTTATATAATTTATATATTAATAGTTCGTATCTCCCGAACAATGACAGAATGACCGAGTTTCTTTAAAATACAAAGAAATTTCATTCAAAATTCTGTTTGTTTCAAATTGGAAGTTTAAAATGGCAATAAAAACTGTATATAAAATATAAAAAAATTAACTGTCTTGAATTATTTTGTCGGGCGGTACATTTATATTGTATAACGAAATATAGAACGTTTTCACGAGGATTTTAAAATTCAGTCGGGCGGTGATGAGAATCAAGGAATTTATTTTATGTTGGGCAGTTGGGACTTGGGAGTAGCTTGGGAATGGCTAATTTTGAGTATTTACTTAATTAATGCATCTATAAATAGCGTTGATGCTTCAGGGGCGGTAGTTCATTTACACCCAGTTTTGCGGCAGGCGGTATTTCCTTATGTACCGCCTGCCATGCAGGCTACAGTTCGTACGGACCGTACGATCCGTACGGATCGACAAACTTTTATGTCCTGACTTAAACACAACATCGCTATCGACACAGTAGGTTCACGATCCGTAAACTCTTTTTCACGAGCGGTACGGTTTATACGGTCCGTAAAGCCATTTCACAGTTCGTATTGTGTTCAATGTTTTACCATCTTTACGATCCGTATACGTTCGACGGTATTGGACAACCATCCCCATATGGATATAAAATGTAAGATAAGTAAAATTTATAGTAACGCGAATCAGCGTTTTAGACCGAGAATCGTTAGTGAGCATCGTGTAGTTTGAGACCTATGAAATTTGACTACTGTCTGCTTTATGAACTGTGCTATACATCTTACACTGCAAATGAAATTTAGCTTGCAAATGGCCCCAGTTCTCAAGTATAAGTTGTAAAAGGCGAAAACAATGCATATTTATTTGTCTTTTTCGAAGTTTGATAAGTTGCGAGATGAGATTTAAACCTATTCGACTCACAAACAGATTATTTCTGAATAGTTCGGTTCCAGGTTCGTCGTTATTATGGCCTTTTGCATCATTCGATCCAAAGACAGCATGTAACTTTTGAGTAAATTTCCGCGGCTTTTTCACAAGGAAGATAGCGATGATGATATTAGACGTGAATATAAATGTGCTTATTAAGCATTATAGCTAGTAGCACACGTATCTGTATTGGTATATACAGTGTTAAAAATAACCCCTCCCTCCGGAATGAATGGATAGTATCCAAAACTACCAAAACTTTGCCCACATATTCTTTGCTACTGGAATATATGTTTTTGGGCGGTATAAACTTAGAACTAAAACGTTTAATTACCATGCAACTTCCAAACACCATTGATCACCACCAAGAGAATCTTTGCCAGAAACTATGGGACAGTAGCTGTAATTTCATCAGGAAATGGTATATTACAACCGAATGCATGTAAAAACTAGATTGTCCCAATCTAGCTATATTGTCAAAGATTGTACTGATTAACTGTTTCTGGCAATAAACTGTGTAATCAGTGGCGTAGCTAGCGGTCCTGCTTGTCCTGCCCAGCAGAACCAAAAATTTCCCCAAATTTCCGTACTAAAGCATTGCTTTATTATCTTGAAGCTTTAAAAATTTATCATTATCATATTGTTATTTTGTCTCATTTTCTCGTCTTTTTCGTTATTATTTTTTAAAAAGTTTTTCGCATTCTGTTATATTTACGCAATTATTTTACAGCTTGCCGTGTCTGTTACCTAGCAACTGCAACTCTACATTGATTTCCACGCGACTCGTATTTCAGTCCTGCCATTTTCAAATGGCAGGACTTGCTAGTATACTTCATAGTAAATTCATACAAGTGCGACCGTTTACAAATGCGAAGTCCTGCTCTCTCGAAATGGCAGGACTTGGCCTTGTAAGTGCACTTTACTTGCGAGCTTTCCGCGTGACAAACCCACTTTTCACTAATTCTGTCGAGATTACTCAAGTTATGAATATAGAAATCAACGAGTGTGGAAGCCCGATGTGATTTTGATATAATTTCCGGCTTCTGCTAAAAAATTTTAGCTCACGAAATGCATGTGAACAGACTCAACTGATGATTGTGTATTTTGATAATACAATATAGTAAATGGGAAATACAAACTTCATTTGTGAAGCCTGTCGTATTGATATAAAGTAAGAACGTAATATTTACTGCCAGTTCATCTGCTTTGTGCATTTGAAACGGGCACTTATATAAAGTTTAATTTTAAAAATAATATACTGTACCAATTCACACTGTTTATGTAGATATTTGGCCGCATAGACTATATTAAACGCTATATTATTAATACCATAGGCATAGGGTACTGAATTACATTCAGAGTGCCAGGCGTAGTGATCTGCCACATTACTAACAAACGCCGGTAGTAAATTTTTAACGAATGCTAAGCGTAGCGTTATAGTGTATAAAACGCCGTGTTCAACAGTATAATAATTATGCAATTGTTGATTATGTGAGGTTGGATTGTGTTGATCAAGTAAAAGATCGTATTAGAGACGCGTTTTGTATACATGATATTTTCCTCTTTCGTGACTTGACTATATTTAGCTACATTTTCAGAAGTTGAAAAATACATAGTGAAATATGATAAAAAACTGCATGGATTTCAAAAAGTTATAAATTTTATTTCCCCACATCATGGGGAGCATCAAAGGTTCCGAATGTCAAAAAATGTCTCCTGTACCTGGGGCCTTCGCCCAGAAATTAAGTACTGTTTAATAAAATAGTAGGAGTGTTTTGTCACATATAAAACACGACGCGTAGCGGAGTGTTTTATATGTGATAAAACACGAACTACGAGATCGCGGCATTGGCGAAATAATTTTCCAAAATAACTTTGTATTAGCTGAGAAAATGCAAGTTGAAACTTGAAGCGTGTTTTATCACATATAAAGACACGGCACGCTTATGATTTCTCTTTGTGTTTTCCTCATGAATTATTAATGAGTTTTTGAAGACTTTTTAATTAAATACTGCTAATACAGTTTAGGCTATATAAAAAAATAGTTGGTTAGCGTCCTTAGCTTTTGTCAAAAAGTGAGCGGGCGGGCGCTTTTCTTTTAATTTTTACTAATTTTTAACGCCTTGGTTTTACTCACTGTTAGGTACTTATTTTCTTGCGCAGTACAGAAATTTTTTTTATATATTTCAAAATATAATTCATACTGTCATTTTTGCACGCAATTTCGCAAATTATTAACACAATTGACTACAGTCAACAGAAATACTACATATATTAGAGCCCGTTGATGAATAAAAGTCGGGTATTTTAAAATAAAAAATAAAAAAAAATCGTGAGCGGGGCCTTTTTTGTGGGCGGGCGGGGACGCTAACCAACTATTTTTGTGTGGCCTTTGTTCCAGAGTAGAAACTGATTATTACTGAGAAAGAGACTGGTTCGAGGAACTGCAGGGGCTTGGACTCCCCGAATATCTACAAAACGAAAGTAACTTTATATTTTTGTAAATTTTTGTTTATGTTAAATTTCACGTCTGTTTTCCGTATATTTTGCGAATTAAATAAGTTTAAAAACATGGTCCTTCGTGTCGGATAGAAGAAAAGTTTAGTATTTAACGATTGGCGTTAATAAATAGTGTTTATTGCTTGTTGGAAGCATGTCGAAAGAGCTAGAAGGCGTGAAAAAGAAGCGACGTTTTATGAGGAAGTCGGTGACGGACAGTTTAAAGTTGATTGATGAAGGGCTTGCAGAGGAAAATAGTCATGCTAGAGTTCAGGTACTGAAAGATAATATTTTAAGTAAATGGAATGATTTAACAGAGGTACAAGCCTCGCTTTCTATATGTTTGGAAGACAGTGAAATTGACAGTGAATGTGCAGCACACAATGAGTGTGAAATGAGAGTTATGGACTTTATGGCTAGAATTACAAAGTATTTAAGTGTTAATACACATGCTGAGAACAGCAATGGGTCTAACGAGAGTGGGTCAAGTTTGGGGTCCACATGATAGTGCTTTAGCTGATGTGCAAAAACTAGAGTACATTATGCAATCACTGAAGGGTGTAGCTGCTGAGTCGGTTAAGGGATTTTCAATAGTGGCTGAGAATTATGAATCTGTTTTGTCAACTCTGAAGGAAAGATTTGGTCGTTCAAGGTTGATCTTGGATGCCCATATGAGGGGTTTGATCCATTTACCCAGATTGAGTGCTGAAGATGCAACATCTATGAGAGTGTTTTATGATAAAGTAGTCGGGCATGTTCGCTCGCTTGAGTCAGTGGGAAAGAAGTATAGCTCTGAAACCTTGGCACCAGTATTGGTTCCTTTGATTGTTGATAAGATACCAAAAAAACTTGTGGAAAAGGGGGAGCTTGAAATTGGAGATAAGAAAGAGGACTGTTTGCCTATAAAAACACTCTTTATTTTCTTAGAGCAAATCACAAGGGCAAAGGAATCTAGTACACAAGCCCATAATGTAGAATCCAAACCTTCAAAGAATATTTCTTTGAAGGAAGGATTTCACAAAAATCCATCATTCAGAAGGTCTTCAACATCAGCGTTGTGTTCGCCCACTCAAACTCAAGAAAAAGAGTGTGTTGTTTGTGGTAAGGATCACAATGTGTGGTCTTGCATTAACTTCCTTTCATTGACAGTGAAAGAGAGATTCCGGATAGTTAGTGCTAAAGGTCTGTGTTTCCTGTGTTTGGAAGGTGGTCATAGGTCGAACAGCTGTAGTCGAAAGACATTGTGTAAACATTGTAAAGGTCGTCACCATCACCTTCTCCACACAGACCAGCTGCCCCCAAATAGAACACATCCAGACAAGACTGAAGCCACAGAAGTTCAGTCTGCAAGTCAAGAGGATGCATCAAAGAATGTTTCAAAGAATGTAACAGCCAATTCAGTTGGAACTGATGACATTGGAAAGGTGATTCTACAAACAGTCCCAGCTGTTTTGTGTGGTTCTAATGGGAACTCAAAGGTTGTTCGCTGTTTTCTTGATTCAGGTTCACAAACCTCCTTTATAAGGCAAAGTGTTATAGAAGAGTTAGGTCTCGATGGACCTAGTGTTAAAAATTCTGTGTCTGGCTTTGGTGGAAAGCAAGATAAAGCATGTCTTCGAAAGAGAATATCCTGCACACTAGCACCTGTGGACAGGCCCAGGTGTTCACGAGAGTTTGAAGCACTCACCACTGCAGAGATATGTCATCCAGCTGATGCGGTCGAGGTTAATCCAGCAAATTGGGTGCACTTGAAAGATGTAAACTTTCCAGAAGAATTTTCCAGAGAGCAAAAGCCAATTGATGTTCTCATTGGTTTAGATTTTTACTATTCATTTGTCACAAGGGACATTGTGAAAGCCGATCTATCTGAACTGGTTGCTGTTCGTACCACTTTGGGTTGGGTCTTGTGTGGGCCAACAGGTACTGCTAGCAGTGAGTCTACTGTCTCAATGAACGTCCAAGTTAATACAAATGATCAACTGAATGAAACGTTACAATCATTTTGGAATTTAGAGTC